GCCCCGCACCCCCGGGGCGGCCCATCACACACAGCCATCCTCACGCACGCCTTCCCCTTCCCCAGGCAGCACACCCGCGGGCCTGAGCCCCGCGCGCGCGCGCACTCGTGTACACACACACACACACACACACACACACACAACACACACCTGGCCCCAGAATGTCACCCCCATGGAAGAAGACCCACCACGTTTATTACGCTGAGTGGAAGTGTAACAGGCACTTCTACACCTTTTGTCTCATGAGTCCTCACCACAAGACTGTGTGTGATCCCATTTCACAGATAGGTAAATGAAGGCTCAGAAAATGAACACATTTGCCCAAGTTTCACAGTTGGCAGAGACTTGAACCCAGTCTCTCGGCTGCCCTCTCCACCACCTGGGGACTTTCAACAGTTGTACTGCTACACGGATCGCCTCTCCTAGGCACAGGTGGACTGTCGAGTGTCAGTTCATGTGTGTATTATTTCTTTTGTTGTTATTGTTAAAACTGATTTCTCAAAAGTACTTAGAATTTCAGAAATGTCGGCCAGAGAGAATGGTGAGCTAAGCTTACAACGTGTTTCCAATCAGGGGCAGGAGGAAAACAGGGAAGTCAAAGAAAGTGTGCAGCCTCCGGAATCCGAGAGCCCAGGCAAAGGCTGCCTGGGGGTGAGGATGACTCAAGAGCAGGGTGGTCACTGTGAATACTTCATGGACCTTGTTATGCTGTCACCGTGAGTGATTTAAGTAGGACTGACTCATTTATGTTGTCTTGAGTCTCTAAATCCCTTCAGGTGTTCCTCCAAAAATGCTAGTGTTTGAAAGTGTAAGGGTGTGAGAGAGATAGATGAGAGAGAAAGAGAGAGAGAGAGAGAGAGAGAGAGAGAGAGAGAGAGAGAGAAAACATGGGAGGGCACCACATAAAGCTGTCCCTCAAATCCAGACATCCTACTGTGTGCCAGGAACCATGCTGGATGCTTTAGGAGTCCCCTCACATATTCCTCATCACAAGCCACACAAAGAGAAAAGTTATTGTCACCATGTTACACCTTTCTATGTGATCCTGACCCCGCCCTAGCTGCTCTCCAAGGCTCTCCAGGGGGTGCTTAGAGAGCTACCTAGGACAGGTTCTGTCTCGGGTGTAGAGAGCTGGCATAGCGCTTTGCCCGTGGTACATGCTCAGTGAATATTAGATGCCTGCATAACAAACAAATGAATGATTCTGGGGACCAAATGAGCATTGGGTTTCATGTTAGAAAGGCATCCAATTTGACTTTGGGTGCAAAATACAGAATATGTATTATAGAAGTATACACTTGAAATCTGCATAGTTTTATTAACCAATGTCACCCCAATACATTTAATAAAAAAATTTAAATAAAAAAGGAATCCAGGACTCAGTTTCTTATCACAGAATCCCCCCAACCGATATAAGATAAACTCAGACCACCACTGAGCCCCTCTCCAGGGAATGTCAAGTGAAGCCTGAGACTGACTGTGGGTCCTTAGGCAGAACATTGCAAAGGGCATCCCCTCACAGTTCACCATCACAGCTCACCCTTTAGGGGCTGCCTGGAGGCTGCATACTGGGAGCCAGCCCCTGGCTTTCTCTCATATACTGAATAAAAATGATCTCGCTAGAGACATTTTCCTTGAATCCTCCTCACAGAAAGGCTCATTTCCTGCTAGTCGTGTTCACTTAATGACTTCTAAATGGAAAGACAGACATAAACAAACCCCACTACATTAAAATAGCAATCCTCCATGACCAAGTAAGGTTATTCCCAGGAATTATATTTTTAAAAATATATTGAAAAGGAGAATGAGGGCTCTGGGTTAAGATGGCAGTTGAATGAATACTTCTAATTTCATTCCCTCCCCAAACCCCACTAAAATGTCAATAAAGAGAATTTTAAATCACGAGATAAACCTACAAGGATGGAGCAAACAGGAAAAAAAGACAACAGCCAAGAAAGTTTTGCAGGAGGTTGGCAGGCACCCATGTGGTTACTGACTTATCAACCCTGAAGAAACAGACCTGTCAGCTGGTAGTGGAGGGAATCGAGAGCCAACCTGACTTTCAGTCCAAGGTTCTCAGAAGGCACAGAACTTTGCAATCCAAGTACCTCTGGAACTGTGGGAGAGGTGGCTAATATAAGGACCAACAAGTGAAGGAGTTAGAACTCTAAGTCACTGGGGAATAGCCCCTCCTCTATCCCAGCGAGGCTGGAGGATTTACTCTGAAGAAGGTAAAATGGAGGGTATTGGGTTGGAGAAGCTTCAAGTACGGTTATGAATGGAGATAGTATGCTGAACATTGTGAAAGCTAGAGGATCACATGTCATGTGAGATGCTGAGTGCAGAGAGCCCGATTCTTCTCCCACCATGGGTTGTAGGTTCAATCCCCAAAGCACTGGGAGCAGGGCCTTTGGCATCTAGGCAGGAGCTGGAAGACTCTACTCTGGGGTATGTCACTCGTCCAAAGGAAAGGCCGAAAGATACTGACATAGGTGTTTGTCCAGCTCAATCGCCCAACAGTGGCAACCCCAACCTGTGAGCTCTGTCCTTGACTAGCTTCCCTCCCACAACCTTATTCATGGCCAAAGATCACCAGATGTCCAGGAAATTTTCTAATGCAGAAGAGAGAGACAAAACAAACAACCAGAAAAGTAACTTGGAGGAAACAAGTTATACAGAAAAGAAAGTGTCCAAAGACCACTGTTAGTAGCCTAGAGAGACAAGAGAAGATAGACTATCCATGAAATAAGAACAATTTGCTGTACAAAGGAACACCCAGAGAATAGCAACAGCAACAATTATGTCTTGAAAACTAAAATCACAACAGCAGAGGCAATAACACCTGCAGAAAGATAGGAAGATAAGGCTGATTAAATCTCCCTAGAAAGTAAAGCATACATACTAAGAGATAGAACATATAGGACAGAAAAGACAAGAACCTTAGAGGCCGCCGAAACCGGTTTGGCTCAGTGGACAGAGCGTCGGCCTGTGGACTGAAGGGTCCCGGGTTCGATTCCGGTCAAGGGCATGTGCCTGGGTTGTGGGCACATCCCCAGTGGGAGATGTGCAGGAGGCAGCTGATCGATGTTTCTCCCCCATCGATGTTTCTGACTCTATCTCTCTCCCTTCCTCTCTGTAAAAAATCAATAAAATATATTAAAAAAAAAAAAGAACCTTAGAGGACAATGCTAAGAGTTTAACATCAAAATAATAGAAGTTTCAGCCATAGTCAGTGGACTGAAGGGTCTGGGTTTGATTCCGGTCAAGGACACATACCTGGTTGCAGGTTCAATCCCCACCCTTGGCCAGCTCTCTCTCTCTGTTTCCCTCCACCCCTTTCACTCTTTCTAAAAATCAATGGAGAAATATCCTTGAGTGATTAATAATAATAATAATAATTATTATTCTTATTATTATTATAGAAGTTTCAGAAAGGAAAAAAAAAAAACAGAGGAAAATGGAAGGGAGAAAATCACCAATGAACTCATTTGAGGACATTTTCCAGAACAGAAGGACATGAGTTACCAGATCATAAAGGTTTTGGATTCACCAAGACCCAAGATCGTGGATGAAAATAAACCCACACCGAGGCAACACTAGTAGTTAAAAGCAATGCTTTCAAAATGCTGGGGAAAAAATTTACTTTCAATCTAGAATTTCTAGCCATTCAAGCTGTCGAGTAAAATGATAGAATACATACATTTTCAGACATGTAAGATTTCAGAAAGCTTACCTTCCTTGCACAGTTTCTGGAAAAGGTACTAGAGAAAGTGCTCTACCGAAACCAGAGAGCAAATCAAGGAAGGTCACGTGGGATGCAGGACACAGGAGAGCCACCACAGGCAGAGGCGACGAGAGCTCCATGGAAGGTGGGGAAGGGGACCCCAGGATGTCAGCTGTACTCCACAGGCACCAGTTCAGATGGGAGCAGTGCAGCTCATCAGGAGATGGTGATGGCAGTCACCGCCGAGATCCTTGATGCCGGGGGACCAGCTTTGGAATCTCAGGGCAGAATATTTGGGTGAGCCTGCTCCAATTCTTCCTTGTACTTGCCTTGTTTTGACCAAGTGCACTGAGGCTACTGTTCTCCCCTCCGGCCCTGCTGCCTGCTCAGGAAATGTTCCGCGTTGACCTGCCCCTGAGAGGAGGAGATAGGAGTGCGCTCAGAAGCAGAGAGCCCAAAGCAGCCCACTGCCCCTGACAATATTCCATCCAGCTGTCCAAGGTCTGGTGGACACTACAGCCCTGGCTTCAGTGAGGCCTGTGTTTCCAGGACTCCCTCAGGACCTTGCCCACGGATGGGCCCAGAAAAGGTCCTTGTAAACTCTCAGAGAAGCCGAAGCCACACCAAGATCCAGAGGGTCTGTGGCATCTCTTCTCCCGAAGTCTTCACCTAGCATGAGATTGTCCAGTCCTTCCACAGTTAGGACTGTGCTTGCTTCTCAGCATTATTTGCGAATATACACATAAGTGGTGAAATTATTAACAAAAGCAAGAGGAGGATTTACCTGAAAGTCAAGAGATTCCTTCCCTGGGGTGGAGCAGGCAACAGGGAAGTGGATATGACTGGCGGAGGGGAACTCAGGGATTCTAAGATAGTGGTCATGTCCTATTTCTTACCCTATGTGGTAGATATATGGGTGTTCATTTTATTATTTGTTTTAAAATAATATATACTTTTTTGCATGTACTTTTAGATACTCTTCTGAATGACGATATATTTTTTTCAATATCAATTTAG